TCAACGGACGCTATGCGGTGGCGTGGTCCAGCGAGGCTCACTTGGGGTCTACGGAAGAACTCAATGCATTGAAGGCAACCAATCAGTAACAAGTCATTTCGCCCATTACGAACGAACAGGACTTTCAATAAGTTCTTTTGTCGGAATCATGGATAATGAACATTGGATGGGGTTCATCTATATCTTTCAAAGACTGGCTGAAAGAGAGGACTTATTGGAGGAGATTGCCAACACGATTCCTAACGTAACAACAGCGCTGCCTAACGTTAACGTCACATAAGTTGGATGTACAGCTCCAAATTGTAGCTGTTTTTAGCTCCAACTGGTCTGGTATTACAGCATATGGCTTGTATTAAGTGCCTCATACGAGCGTATCGGTCTCCAGACTTCAAAATACTATCAGATGTTTCGTTAATACGTACTGTTGCTTGCAAGTTATTAACAATCTCAATTTTCAAGACGTACTTACGTACATTACAAGGTGGACAATTGCTGTTACCTATGCCACTGGAAGTTGTCTCTGTGTGAACATGGATATTCATTTGGGAAATACTTCTAACACAGATGCCGAGAGTCAACAAGATACAAGATAAAAGTTTCGTTTTGGATTCTGGGACAACTAGAGTGCCAAGCCGGTCCGGGGAGAGCGCCATGACAGGTTGGTAAGGCTACCAGAATCATACCAATCAGGATGCAGGGAAAACATAACCTCCCTCACAACGCTGAAAAATATCAAGTCTGAAGGTAGATCATTGCCTGGAAAACCAGAACCCCATCCACTGCGTTGTAGTAGAGACGCTTCCTTACTACATTCCAGAATGTAATGAAGATAAAAGCAAGAAAGCTGGAACATATGAAGTTAATAAAGAAAAGAGTCGGCCCTCATAAGTCATACATTGTTTCCCTAAAATACAGCAATGGGGACGGGTCTATTCTTGCAGTTTGCACAGATTTTGTTGCTGTTAAAATGTTCAACTTCTTCGAGAATAACGTACTTATTGATGGAACAGGCTTTGGCCATTTTGTGGATGTAGTGTGGTCCCTTCAAGTAGATGTGGATATTCTTAGGGCGGATTCATACCCAGTGTGTGAATTTTTCACAGTAAATGATAATACATCCTATTTTAATCTGCAAAGCAATTTGTCAGGAATGGGAAGTGGACCACCAGTAGAGCCTTCGCTGGTAAAGCTTGATGCTGATCCGGCAGAATGGAAAGATGCAAGGAAAAACTTCCCATATGCCTCACAGAACTGTCCTATGTCTAACTTTTTCAAATGTTGAAAAGAAGGAACAGGAGCGGGAGTCTATTGTAGTTGAAGAAGGGTATTACGCTGGACAGACAGGTCGGGTGCAGAAGTTCGTGAACAATGTAAATTTTACTATGAAGCGTCGCACAGAGGGTTGCAATGGAATGTTGATTCCCGTTAAGGATGGCACCAAACAATGTCTTTTACAAAGACAAGTATCAGCAGTCCATTGCAAATGTTGCCTGTGTCTTAAGCAAAACATTAAGGGAGTTCAGGCAGACATTTAGTGGTTGGGAGAAGGTGTTCATAAAGGAGAAGGGGGTACTACCTTGTGCACATGATGTAAGCAAGGATAAAGAAGCGTCTGCTGTACAAAAAAGGATCAAGTATGCAGAGCACATCCTCAGAACACTTCGTTTAGATATAGCTTAACCTTGCGCTGGTATTCATTTGCCCAATGTGCCACCGATTGACCACTGGGCGGAATACAAAACCAGTTGGGCTGTGTGAGGGACTGGCACCCCTCCTCCTGTCCCTAATGCCACCGCTGCACCATGGGGCAGAAGTAATGCATTTTTAATTTTGCGCTAGACATAGACATAAGATGGATGGAATAAGGCAATTATAGATGATAAAGATGATTTTAGTTTTAAAACTGACATGCACATGTTGTAGTTGTAGTTGACATCGTGTAGTTGACACCGGGCAGGCATCAGGGTTGTTTTTAGCTCCTGGTGTTGGTCTGAGAGACTCAGACCAACACCAAACACACTGGCAACAGAGGCTTCTACACATCTATGGCCAACAAATGTGTCTGCTGGATGCGACCTATCGGACATGCCGGTATTCAGTCCCCCTCTTCTTCCTGTGTGTCCGTACGGATGTCTCCTACGCAGTGGTCGTCTGCCTTATTGTGCAGAGGGAGGAGACAGAAGACATTCAGGAGGCATTGGACGTCTTCAAGGTGTGGAATCCTGACTGGATGCCAAGCCACTTCATGGTGGATAAATCTAACATGGAAATCAATGCCCTGACGACAGAGTTTCCAGGTAAAGGAACAGTTATATCAGTTATATTCTGCTGTTGTCTTGCACCTTTTTCGTGTATACTGGTATTAAGACTCAAGGCCTGGCAACTTTACAGAAACATTAATTAAAGCAACATAGTGACTTGGCGATATGTCATCACATACACCTTTAATGAAAACTTCCCTTATAATAACAATACTTATTTTATCTTTGTGCATCTGTTTACAGCTATGGAGCTCCTAGAAAAGATCAACAACAGTAAGGTGGAGCCAAGGGAAGAGCTGGATGTGGTGGAAAGTCTGGTTGGCAAGAAGAGAATGAAGGACCAAATACACTACCAGGTTAAGTGGCAGAGCTACCCACAAGAGTTTAACACATGGGAACCATACAAAAATCTGGTCAAGTGGCTGGGCAAGTCCACCACACAGGAGCCTGCAAAGAACCACACAGACCAAGTGGTTGGAGGGGAGGCTGGCATGCTAACCAGATACAATGGCGTACACACAACCAGAAAACAACTACAATATTCGCAACTTTGCCCATCCACTGTTTTACAGTACAGTGCAGAGACAGAAAGACACAGAAGATAGGACAGAAGTGCAAAGAGTGAAACATCTATGGAGGAGTGGACAGTGTGTTTACAAGAGATTCAGAGAAAGAGACAGAAGAGAGAAGTGTTACAGAGTGAAACACCTGTGGAGGAGTGTACAGTGTGTTTACAAGAGATGCAGAGACAGAAGGAGACAGAAGACAGAAGTGATGCAGAGTGAAACACCTGTGGAGGAGTGGACAGTGTGTTTTCAAGAGATGCAGAGACAGAAGGAGTCAGAGAGAGAAGTGTTACAGAGTGAAACACCTGTGGAGGAGTGTACAGTGTGTTTACAAGAGATACAGAGACAGACGTGATGCAGAGTGAAACACCTGTGGAGGAGTGGGCAGTGTGTTTACAAGAGATGCAGAGACAGAAGGAGACAGAGAGAGAGAAGTGTTACAGAGTGAAACACCTGTGGAGGAGTGGTATGTGCTTACATTAGGGACTTGGAGAAAGAGTGCGGTCGAGTGTTAAACACTCAGGAATGGTAAAGAACTGTAATGCCCAAGAAAGACGATATAGAAATGAACAGATCACCATAGAATAGACGATATCCATTACTTATATTTAATCATGTGTCTGTGTGAAGAAATTTTTTTTTTAATTTTAATATCTTTTTAGTGTGTACCCCTGTATTTTAACGATCATGGCTCTCCCAAAGTGGAGGAATATTGTATTATCATAAACAATAAAGTCTGGGTAAGTCAGTGGTTTACTGTATGGTGTGTGCTCGTTTTCGAGCAAAAAAAAGAGAGAAGGTAATGACTTCAGTGTCTCGAGGACAGATTCCTGATGTAAATCTATACATTGTTTCCTTCAGGCCCGACTCCTGTGTCTGTTAAGGAGAGGAACGTGTGTACTACAGCCCAACATGTGTGGTGTGTCTGGAAAACCCGCCAGTGGAGGTGGTCTGGCCTTGCCGGCATGCCTGCCTCTGTCGGCCTTGCGCAAGGCGTCTGAAGGTAGCATCGTCGAGATGCCCGGTCTGTAGACAGGAATACCTGGTCATCTGTTTTAAGACTCTCAAACAATATAACTATACTCCTAAAAAGTATGACAGCGATTTCGGATAATCATGCTTTTCGGGGCTGTGTTTGTGAGGCGACAAGTCTGTCCGCTACTTCAATAACATGTATCTTGATCGCAGGAGGATCCCGAGTCTGAAGCGGAAAGGCGAACGTGGGAGAAATTCCAAGAGGACATGGCGGTCCTGGACTCCCTCGATCGTATCATGGACGATCCCGGCAAGAGCGAGGAGGAGAAGGCGGAAGCTCGCCGGAAGTACGAGGACTATGTCCGTAAGATGAATGAGCAGTAAGTCACATCACGTTCTGTGTTTGATAATAGCAGCCTGGTAGTCTGTTCAGACTGTACAACATTTGTATAGTACATAACTTCAGTAGAACCAGATGTTCATGTTTTGTATATGTTCCAGGCCGTTAGTCCAGATTAGGTCACCACCAGGCGGGTACAGCTGGAGAAGTCTCCATCCGTGGCGTCTCTCTAACATCACACGCTGTTTCACGTGCCCACATTCACAGCGCTTCATCGGCAGTTTCCAGAGAGTAGCCAGGTTTCCTATGACACTAAAAATGCTGACTGGGCCGTCTCTCCCAAAATTTCTCGGGTTTGGGTCTGATGGTGCCTCAGTGACGACAGGTGAGTAGATGACAAGAATGAACAATTAATATATTTTTAATTTGTATGTGATGTACTAATATACTACTAGCATTCTGTGTGTACAGAAATACAACAAATAATGACAATTCTGTCTGTTAATGCCTTGCAGGACAGAGGAATGGTGTTGCAACCTTCTCAAGGCCGAATGCCAGCTGCTAGTTGCCATCCATTGTATCGCACATAGGTTGGCCAGGCTGGAGAAGCGGTTTCCTACTTTTGCCAGGCTGGAGAAGCGGTTTCATACTTCCGCAACTCCTTCAAGCCCAACCTCGGGGAGCTGTCCAGGTTTTTCGACTATTCGGCATGCCGGATGTCAAGACTACATCAGATTCAGGTAGGATGCTTTAGTGCATTGGATAATAAGCCCTAATCATCTGCCTTTTGTGTAAGTATTGAATTTGATCTTAAACACTGCAGTAATTCAATTCATTATATCGGCATTTTAAGAGATCATGGACCTGGCACAGAGGACCCTCAAAGAGGCCATGGACACCAGGTGGCTCAGCCATGATGAAGCCTGCAGTTCCCTGTACAAGACCCTCCCTGCTGTGCTGACGAGCCTTGACCATGAAGGTAGGCAGAGTGCAACCGCAAGTGTGCAGTAAGTGTGTCAGCTGATGATAGTTATGTACGTTATACTGAAACTAATTTGTCTTAATCTTCTTCCCTTAGCACCTGCCAGCATCAAGTTACAGGCCGCTGCTGCTGCTGACCCACAAGTGAACTCCGGTGAGATTACCTTCCACTTTCTAGGCCACAGGAAGTAGATTTTGTGGATGACAACTGTCACAGATTCTTATGTATTATGCAACTGCATGAAAAACTGGATCATTCTTTAAAACGTAGATTTTATCAAAATAATGCATTTTCCTTGCCTTCATATACAAGCAGTTTACATGGTTCCTTAGCTTTCTTTAAAATATGATATTGCCATAATCAAAACCCCGTTGTCTTTTATTGATAAGAGATTTAATTTGGTGTATAAGCCATTCTTTATGTGAATTGTGTTTAATGACAGATTTAAAAGGGATATGAACATCTTTTCTCGTTTGAAGAGTTTGATAGAGTATTAAAAGTAAATGTCTGTAAGGGTCAAACAATGGGTCAAACAATGGTGGCAAAAACTTGATTTGGCTAATTGATCTAGCGCAGTGATAGTACTTGGTACATAACCCCTCAAAATAGCGTTCTTTTAGGGTTAAATGCAGCAGGAATCACGCCCTCCCCTAGACCTTTGTGACAATCAGAAGGCTACAATCAAAGGGTTATGCTCGCGCCACCGACAGTTATGCTCTGGACAGAAGAAAATCAAAAAATGGACCTGAGATGACACCGCATACCTGGATGCAACTGGTAGTGTTCTAATACTTCACTTCTACGAAGTATGAGACAGTCCGCAACGATATTGTTTGGATATAAGGAAGATACACATTTCAAATAATGATAGATTTGTCACTTTCGTTTCGGAAATTCCTATTATACTCAATGTCTGTGGATGACACTTCATTAATTTACTGATGCCGTCGTTATAATTATGTTTTACACCACAGGCTGGACAGCCTCCAGTACCGCTGGGAGGGCCAGAAAAAGGGGTAGTCACATACCCCCATATTCTGGTCAACATCCCCGAACAGTTCTTCAAACAACTCACGGGGATTTACTTCTCCGATGAAGAACTGTTCAGGGGAAACTATACTGGAGGTGGTGCCCATGAAGCACTAAACCCCACCATCCTCGGTGCCATTCTGGGTAAGGATATCTTGCACATGATTTCATTTGTAATAGAACATTTGTTCTGTGTGTAACCTTCTTATATATTTTCCTGAATGTCCCTACATTACAGGAAAATAATTAGCTTTTCAAATGCCATGGAAGTACAGAATAGTAGCTGCAAATAATTTCTTCATCTGGCTTAAAAACTTAATTGCCATTGAGTTATGGAAAGTCTACACAATGATTTCTACGGGATCTTGTCGGGTGAAATTGCAGGTAAAGCAAAATGTATTCTGCTAGGTATTTGACACCTACATACACTTAAAGCTTTACATATGAATACAAAACATTTCATCCATTATCTCAGAAATTACTAGTAACTTAAATACTGCAAAATCAGTGTAGTAATTTGATAGTTTTAAATGTATATAGTTATGCTGAAATTAAGACATATATCATTCCTGTTTACAGCGGAGACTAACAGGCAGTACAAAGATGAAAAGATCAAACTGTACAGAGTGGTCACTGAGAAATGCTGCAGGGTGAGGGCAGCCCACAAGGCACGCAAGAACAAGCCAGTTGCCCTCCCGGATGCCAACCAACAACAAAGACAGGCTCAGCAGGACCTCATGATCAGCACAGTGGTTAGGGATGCCCTGTTGTCCTTGTGAGATACTAGAGTTGTATTACCATATAGTCAGTATATGTATTTATGTTATTTTTTCACAGACAAACCTCCAGATGCAACTTCATATCGTTCAGGCGGACGACCAAACCACACGTAGTGTACAAAGAGCGGGAGCTGAATGCAAAGCTGGAGGAGGGAAAATCTGATGCGCCTTGGACAGGTCTTCCTCCTCGAAGAAGAACAGGCGGCACTCAGTGATGTTGAGCAACGTCCAGGCACCATACTGCAGGGAGGGCCACGGACAGCTCAAGAATGAAGAAAATTTGAGCAAAGAACACCGTCTCACAGTTGTACGCTCACTGGTACTAATTTTCTGTTGTGCTTAGGCGCCAGCTCATTGCACACTAGGGGAAGTGAACTTTTGTTATTTGGGACCTAATTTAGACCTTGAATAACTGCAGTGTATTTCATACCGAGCAAGGTTGCCATATCGCAACAACACTTCATCACAATGGTGACATTTTCACATGTAGTCATACTGGTCCGAAAAACTAAAAATAGATATATACGTATATGGAGCGTAGTCTAACTTAATTTTTTTTCGTTTTCCAGCCCCCGCGTTGGAACTGCAGGAAATAGAACGAAGTAATGCACGTTTTACCTATGCTGTGTGTGAGTGAACGCGGTAGTTTTTTAGTATAAGATCCTGGCTATTTAACATTGGTTTTTTAGATGGCACGTCATGAATTTTGTCGTTTCGTTATACGGTGACTTTGTTTCCTCGTTGGGCTTTCGTGGGATGGGTCGTTTAGGTAAAACAACTGCAGGGTTCCTGGTAGACAGTCCTGGGTAGCGGGACAGTTAAGACCGGTCCCTAGGGTCACGTACATACACCTTCCTTCATGACACAGGATTCCTCAGGTCCTTTTCAAACAAAACATGACATTCTAGAAGATGCAAATGAAGCAGTACACAGTGGCGTAGCAGTTTAAGTACATATAAAATACTTTTAGTTTTGAGGCTTTTCCACAACTTGCTTCATAAACCTAGTAACTGAACTGTGCAACACATTCATGATATTCCACCAGCAAAACAAACCAGCATAACAATGCAACTTATCTGTTTGTGGACTATTACATTTTCTTTGCCATAACCCATCTAGCTCTGAGTAACTCTTTAAATTTCTTTTGAAGACATGAGAGAACATGGGGTGGACAGAACATGGCTACCAGCAATAGTGGTGTCAGGAAGAAACAAGGCCACACTTGTCTGGCAGACAGCAGAGAATAGTATGTTATTATTTACATTCTCATTATCAATTGGCTTCTTAGAATGATTAACTTCACATTATAAACAAATGACTATGATTTATATTTCATATCTTATATATATTTAATTTTGATGATAGGTAAAATTTTACTTCATTTAATATTATTTGTAACAGGAAGCATGGACAGCAGTTTCGGAGAGATCCACACGGAAATTCAGGACTTCTGCAACGTGTTCACATTGTAAGTTGGTAGCTTTTATTGTTATATTTCCCTCAAAGTATCTGGCATTGAGTGTTTTCAAGTCACTTTGATCATGATATACGTATGAATTTGTTGGGGCACTGTGCAATTGCAGTTTTTGTAAAAACAGCAGGTCTTGACAGGGCAACAAAGCCTTGGCAGCATTTTTCCGTACAGAAGCTGTAGGCCAAGCATTGGACCTGGTTGCCACATGAACGGGTTGAAGCACTGTGTGAAGAAGTAACCATTGCTCTCAAAGTGTCCTGATCCCTTGCCAGTGCCATCACAAGGGCTGTTGCCAACATTCTCGATGCCTTGCCGACAACCAAGTGATTGTGATTCTCCCTGCCGGTGATACCTCGGGTAGACAGAGGGGATTGTTACCTAAGCTTGGACTGAAGTTGCATCACAGATCAGTAACGTCCAGCCACCCCCCCCCCTTGCATAATGTGACATTTTGAAATATGCTTATTGGCTGTCACAACTCCAGAACTGCGTAGTGTCTAAAGCAGAGGAATATTTTATAACTACATGTATATAAATTTTAGCAATGTGTTAATAATGTGCAATAATGTTTTTAACAATAATGCCTTTTGATAGCATATTTTAATGTTATTTTGTGTTGACCACAGAGCAATTCAGGCCTCCAGTATGGTTGCCTGCGAGTCTGTCGTCAGAGCATATTGTGTATGTTTTTGTTTCAAATTGAAATTAAACCATTCTACTACTACTACTCTAAAAAGATTTGCGCTGTGACACCACTTGTTAACTTATGTTTACAGAAGCTCTGAGTTTCCCCGCTCTGTTCATTTATGAATATGATTGTATTCTGCTGGTTTGTAAATTAAACATATGTTCTGCCAAAACATGATGCTTGGTCGTTCCGTTTTCTGTCATGATTTAAAGTCTGGCTTCGAAGTGAGAAAAGACTTTGCCGCAGGGCAAAAGTAATTCCCCTGCTAGTCATGGCTGACCGTAGCATGTCTCTTATTGTTTCCTTGTTGTGTTTTCATCGGAGTCACTAAAACGTTACCTAGACCGTTACTTCAGGATTGTGACAGGGAAGGTAACGAGTGGGGAAATTGACATGACCATTCTTCATAGCTGTGAGACACACATAAAGAAGAACGCCAAAAGCAACGGGAGGAAACAGAGTACTGTTTTCTTTTTATAAACCTTTAAGTAGGATTCTTACTTTAAAAAAGGTTTAAATGATACTGTACCAAAGAGATGTATGATTTGAATTGCAACTTAAAACTAGAAATGATATCAATGTTTGCAATACGCCTATGAAAACTGTATTTACTACATTTCATTTTCCTATGTCAGCTACAAGTCGAACTTCATGCTGGGGATGTACCTTATGGGCCTATTAATCAACACCGCAACCCTGTGGATCACATTGTGGAAAACATCTGCATTCCTAAGTGTTAACGGGACTTCAGAATGTGCTGGCTGTATTTGTCGATGTCATAACTGAACAAAAAACACGATAGAAGATCTACCTCTACTGGTCCGAGCCGATAGCACCAATGTTGGAGTTGTCAAGATGGCATGATCTGTGACCGTGTTCAGTACTTGAAGGATAGCCTTACATCAATGCCGTGCTCTATGACACTTCCAGACATTACTTTCGTCTGAAATTGTGGAACGCTATCATTGTGCAAGGTCGCGGTCCTCCATGCCTCTGCGATCCTGCGTCTTTTCTGTGCCTACCATTATATATACCATGATATTCACTGACCCTTCACTTCTCAACATGGAAATTAGAAACACAACACTTCGTGGCAGCGCACTACATCCGACACAGGCTGGTGACAGTCAAACATTGTGAGGACAAATAGTTGGGACTCATCAATGGACCATTTGGATAACGCCTGGCCTACATACATCATGTACATGACCACTTAACCCAAACAACAGATTGAACAACCGACAGCCTCCAATGATAACCAATTGAATGGAACTTAACTTTCATGTAAACATCAATCATTGTGCCCTTCAAATTAACAAAGAGTAAACCTGAAAATTGATTAAGCATTAACATCCAGCAAACCCATCTAACTAAGCTGAGCAAGCCCCCACCGAGCCAGAGGCACAGTCCCCGAGGTCTGGGTTTCCAAGAGGCTTGACAGCTTCTAAAGCCTAGCTGACTAAAACACCCTGAGTAAGCTGGATGTTCTGCCATTTCGTCAGCGTTTGCCATTTTGTCACTTTTGTTATCATCAAGGACAGATTGTGTTTTCCCAGTGTTCCTTGTCTGGATGCTTTATCCTGATGAAGAACAGAGATCACCAGACCGATGTGCCAGGCGAACACGCCCGTCTGGTCACAATCCCCTCTGGCGTGACCTATACAAAACATCAACAATCAAGTATGTATATGAACATTTGTTCAACATGTCAAACTCAAAGAAAAAATCTTTGGTACTCCAATGGCATAAAATATTACATCAATAATACTTTAACATGTGCATGATTATAGCCAAATGTCCACATACCATTACATTCTGATAAAACATTTAGTCAACTCTTGTATCTGAGATCTCCAAATAACTGTTGAAGTGGAAGCAGTTGGTATAAAAATTCCTACTGGCCCGTTATGCTAAAAGAATATACTGAATAGGCAGCAGATACCAGACTAAAGTATGTCCTTTACAGTTCCCAAATTCATGATAACGACGAAATAAGCACTGGGGTGACGGCTAGCGTATTCCAATTAACAATTGAATCACACCATTTCTGATGTCTGTGCATCTCAGCTATCTGTGCTCACTGCATGAATATATTTCATTAAATAAATAAATCCAACAAACTGGCGTGTACACGCACTAAAATAACCCACAATTATACATTGTAGTTTTAGTACAGAAGGCAACAAAGGTTACTTTGAAAGCATTAGTGAGAATTTCCCAGTCATGCATGTGTTTACGTTAGCCACGCCAGAATTTTTTTTCTCTTTTTGAGTTTCATGGGCTGAACGCTGTGAGCGACCCTCGTGAAAAGAACGCGCCCTTACCAGTGACACCTACAAACATAAATGCACATCGAAACAGCTTTTCTACGCGAAAATTGCATGTTTTCTGGGGAAAATACTCAGACAAGCGAACGACGGACCTTACCTCACAATGGCCGCCCTGCACTGACGCCTCACTCTGTAGACGACCGCATTATTCTAATTATATCCATCCGCTCAGACGTCTGGAGGGTCGAAAGACTAAATAAAGGGCAAAAGGAGAGTCTACACCGCCACGATTTGGAGTTTTCTACCAATATGTGTTATCTACAAAGCTAACTTCATATTTGGCATACCTTTACCGCTGAGGCGTACTGTCTTTCTCGCACTACTTTATGGCGGCGAATTGATACAGTCTGTCTGGAGGAGGATATTGGGTGTGGCAAGGCAAAAGCTGCGAGGCTGCTTTAGGGTTTTTACAAAACGTCGTTCTACAAAGCATTGGCGAGAAAACGTAACCATATTCACTACAACCCTCTTCGAATAACTCTTCCGAAACCGGGATAACTACAGGCAA